ATTTTCTTCTTTCATCTGTGTGTATACTGTCAGATTGGTTCTTTTATGAATCCATAGTAAAGAGGGTCAACTTTTGGGTGAAACTAAAGTATTTCACTTTCTCCAAAGGTCAGCCTTATACAATATACTTGTGTATGCAGTGTAACGGAAAGTAATGTAGGAAAAAAACATGACCCCATTTAAAGGTTGATTTGTATAACCAGTATATTCAGTGACTCTAGAATCAGTGTATATACGACTCTAGTTTGCCTTAATTAAGGTAATTAAGACATATTCCTCACTGCAGACAACCATTTAATTTTATGGTTTGTCAGCATTCAGATTAGAACACTTGTTCTGTAATATTATCACAATGATTGTGTGACCTATCTAAATTATTTGAAATATGATAGGCAGCTTTTAATGTAATGTTTTTGTTGTATACATTTTTATGATCCTTCACTAATAATGCAATAAACTGGACATTTCAGTAGACTGAAACTTACTGGTATAATTCTGCTTTATTTCACTTCAACCTATTTATTAATATTTCTGTTTTATTAATTAGCAATCAATTTTCCACTTCTAGCTGAACAGTTATTTTAAAATTTCATTTATTTAATTGGCTTAAATTGTAATACAAAATAACATCAAAGATTAGTCTTTTTTTAGCTGGTGTATATTGTGCAATCATACTTTTTCCTTAAAATTCTGCTGCCTTCTCAAAAGAAACATTCATTTTATGAAGATATTCTTAGGATTCACTATACAAGGAACTTACGGAGTCAAGTAGATTATACAAGATCTTTAGATAGGTAGAGGGGCTTGTCTCATAGGAATGCTCCTATAATTAGGCATAAACAAACACCTATACTGTGCCTCTTTCCTCTTTTTTCTTTTAAAATCAGTAACAGTAATGTAAGAGTGAGTTTTGAAAATGCTTGTGCAGGCTGAAACCCCACCAATCTAGAGAAATATTCTCAGACCTTTGCAAACATGCCAAAAGGCAAAGATTAAACAGAAACATATAACTTAGCTATATTTTTTCAAAGAAAGTTATAAACAGGAGCCCAGATTGAGGAATATAGAAAGATGAACATAATAGTACCAAGAACAAATGAGAATTATAACTCACATTATACTCAGCCAATAAGATGGATGGAGCTTCTAAACCAAGACTCTCATCCCTCCCCTTTCATTTCTGTTTTAATATTATGCTTTATCCTTATCAATAGCAAGCATGAGCTCTTTAGCTTCCACCCAGGAAATCTCTGATCTTACAGTTTTTAACCACAACTTGACACAGACCCCAAAGCAAACTTAGTGGTTAGAAACAATTTCCTCCTATCTGAGTTGTCTTACTATTATATTTTAGATATGATTTCTTTACAAGCATTTGAGTGCTTGCAAGCATTTGAGCAGACATATGGCAAAAGGATGAAGGCACTTTCAAACAGATAGACGAAGTAGATTGAGATGCACATCAAAAAGAAGGGACACATTAAGGCAACTTTTTAAGTCTGGAGAGGATGTGACAGTGCCTGGCATTTTTCCTCCCATTTTCATTTCACAAGTAACTTCCAATAGGCAAAGCCAAGGTCCTTGTATTCACATCCAATCTTGCAGTTTGCTTTTAATGAAGTCATTGAAGTTTGCTTCTTGAAGTCAAAGTAATGGTAGATGCTTCTTGCCATTTTATGCAAAAGTGTGTGTGTGTCAGACAGACAGGCTTTCACCTAGTACTATACAAGTTTATTTGCAATGCTGGTGAACAGAGAAAGGAAACAGCCAGTACAGACTGGTCTGCTGAGAATATATTTCTTAAACGTTGTGTTTTAAGTTTAGGCACGTCTATTGGCAGATTATAACAGGATATTAGCCAGATAAGGTTTGAAAGAAACGTGACTTAACACCCTTCAAATTAGCTTAAAGGCTAAATCATAATTAAAGTCCGGTAAGCTTCATCCTCCACTACAGTATTAAACATTTCCTCCGATCCTCCACGCGTTACTTGAAGTAAGTCCGAGAGATCTCGAAAAGACGTTGAGTTGGGCTATCCGCGTCGGTATCGGAATAACTTCAAGACTTTTCTTTTGCAGGGATACGTGGGCAGAGAATGGGGCTTCCCTGATAGCTCTCTGTAGATCAGTCGATACAATCCCGGGAATATTCGGAGGAAATGTGAGGGAACCGAGGGCATCTCTAGTTGCCCACTGCCCAGGTGGTGATAGCAAGGTGCTTTCCCGGAGCTGAGTGGCGTTTCAAGAGTTGGCTGCGGGTTTCTTTTTACAGTGAGACATGCACTCACCGCCTTTCCCCTCAGTCTCGTCCTGAAGTACTTCTGTGGATCCAGAAATTTCTTGGCAGAATTTCCTCAGCTTCAAATGCTTCCCTGCGGTAGTGATTTTGTCAGGAAGGCTTCGACGGTTTTCAGATTCTAAGACACTGGGCGCTCCGGAGTAACTTGCTATTTTTTTTTAAAGGAACTTCGAAGTTTGCTTTTCCCCAACTGAGAGGCTCTTCCTCCTCCTCCTCCTCCTCTTCCCCCCCCCCTTTAAGGGTCTCCATTTCACCACCGGCGTAGGATACAGCCTCAGACTTATTTCACCTCTCATGGCCAGCACTCAAAATTTGAATATTTTGAATTAAACGAGTTGGCAAGCCTGCAACTTTTGCGCTTGGATTATTAGAGATCTCTCGCGTTTAGCGTATTGGCGAAGGGATGGCGGCAGTTAAAATTGCATGTTTTGCGCTTGTATTTTGTATGTGTGCACGCGCCTATATATGTACGTATGTTTGAAAATCTTACACTGTACTCCTATCCATTTCTGTTTTTCTTCTCTGAAAAGGTAATATGTGGTCAGAGCGATTTTTTCTTTAATTACCCAGCTGGCAAAGTAGTAGCGGATTTGAGTCTACTGCCGCTGCTGCAAGTCATAACCGAGCAATATAATTAAACTTAAAAAGAGTTTATTTTCTGTCTTAGTTTGCTCTGCTGAACTTCTACCATACCTCAAGCAGTAGCATTTTTCCCTCACCACCATCGCTTTTCTTTGTATTTCTAACATCGAATCTGAATAAGAGTTCTGTGAAACTCGGAAGCTAGTTCCCTTCTCTGCAGCAAACATCGTTCTCCAGAAAGTTTCCAGCCCGCTCTTTCTCTAATGTTCTTCAAACGGGAAAAGGCCCAGGGAGGGGTGGGGGGGGGGAACAAAGTGGGAACACGAAGAGGAAAGTCGGTCCTTTCAAAGGCATTACAGTGATGTGGAACAAGTTTAAACCTATTTGCTTAGATGTTAGTCTTCGTTCTCAAATTAATGGGGTTAGTTACCATTACAGCCTGCGTAAGAACAATGAAGGATGTTTGTTTTTCAAGTTGATGTGCGTTGAGAGGTATAGAGGCTACTCTGGAGGCTGAAGATGAGAAAAATACGGAGTGCACTTTGTTTTTGGGGGGATGGAAAGAGAGGCGCAACTTCAGAAGCGGCGGTCAACTAAATTACAACGGACTTTGATTGTAGTTCTTCAGAAGCGGCTGCCCAGTTTCACTGGGTCGCAGCTTCGCTATTTCAGAAGAAAATACTTTCTAACCACCTTGTTAGGATGAGGCTGGTGTGAGGAGCCACCTTGTCAGGGCACACCCACCAAATCAAGCCACTCTCGAGGGAGCAACATTCCTGTTGAATTCGCGACCAAGTTGTGATCTAGAGAATGGCCACGTCAGGAAGGGATTGGCCGTTGCCCCTCTCTAGGATACCGTTTCCAAACGCAACCCGGAATTCCCCCGCGGCTTCCCGTTCAACTACCAACCAGGCCCAACTTTGCTTATTTTCCGAGCCCAGACGTAGGAAAGGCAGCCGAGTGTACGACAGGGATACTTCACTTCGCTCGTTCTAGCTCATCCGCGAGCATTTTTCAAACGGAGAGTTGGGTGCGAACAGCGCCAGGCAATACGGTGTGTGTGTGTGTGGGGGGGAGCTGAGGTCCCTTTTGCTACACCCCTGCACTTGCAAGTAAACGTAAGTTAAGTTCCCTCTTACTTGGGACTAAGTCTCGCTGAACCCGCGGACCTTATTTCTGTATAGACTTATATGAAGCCGCTTTGTTAAGTCCCGGCATCATTAGAACGGAGCGCGGAGCGCGCGGAGGACTCGCTGCTTTAATTACAGGCCACTTTTTTCCCCCCTTCATCAATCTTTCGGGCAATCATTTGTTCTCCCACCCTCGCTATAATAACTCAGCTGACCTAACATGCCCAGCCTACGTAAGAGTCCAGGCAAGGGGAATTAAAATGTAAATGTTAAACTAAAAAAAAGTAGTATTGGCGAACAATAGCCGAGCTGCTTGCCTTGCCCTGAGAAAGCCGAGTCAACTGCAAACATTTAGCCCATTTATTCCCTTTCTTTTCTTTAGGACGTACAAATCAAATTACGGGGGAGGGGGGAGCCTCACAAAGAAGCACCAGCCTCGGGTCCTAATAGTAAGCGGCGCATCCAAAGCCTTTTTTGGGGGGAGGGGGGCTGTCGGCGATTGTGGTCGAATATATAATGAAGCGGTCTAAGTTCATTAGTGTTTGCAATCAGCGGCACGCAGACACCCTCATCAGGGCAGAAAGCTGCGAAGAGCCATTCATCAGTGTGAAGTGTTGTTCATGGATGACCCCTAAATCATGGCACTAGTAGTAGATGCACTGATTGGACACAGCATGGGAGACTCAGCACTTTGTATTAACCAACAGAGGCGGCGGGGATGAGAATGGGGGGCGACGCGAAAGTGGTTCAGTCCAAATGACAGGAGGCGGCAGCGAAAGAGGCGACGCGTTGCATAAAACTTAGGCGGGGAGAGCAGTTGCGAGCTTGCCAAATGCCGAAGCAGAGGAGCCGAGAATTATAAATGGCCAAGTCCATTCTTCACTGCCCGCGCTGGGGAGATGGATCTCCCCGCGCTTTATGGTAGGCGCCTCTTTCCTGCGTGTGCGCCTCTCTCGCTCCCTAATACGGGAGGCAGGGGCTGAAGCCAGCGCCGCCGAGCCCGCTCTCCCTTCGGGATAACCCCCCCACTCTCTAAGCTTAGATTCGCCTGGCCGCCGCTGCTCCTCCCCCCCCGGCTTCTGTGGCACTTTATTGGGGGGGGCGTGCTCTTCCTTTCCACCTCCCTTCTTTCGAGGACGAGCGAAAATAATAAGTGACAACAACACTAAACTCTCGAGTCGGTGGAAGGGACGCAGCTCTGGAAGCTGCGGAGTGTGAATTCCCGAGGAGGCTCCTTTCCCTCTCCAAACCCCGCCGCTGCCCCCTCGCCCGGCAGGACCGGGCACGGAATTTGCAACACTTCTCTTTTTTTCCTCCCACCCCTCCTGCCCTTCCCGTTCGACGTCCCCAGTTCGGTCGGCCAAGCGGGCGGTGCTGCCTTTCGCCTCGGCGCTCTTGGGCTGACTGAGAAGAGAGGAGGAGGGAAAGTCCGAGTTGAGGCGCCTCGGTAAGTGGCTCCGTCTCGCGCTCTTTGTCGGTCCTAGTGCCCGCGGGCCCCTCTGAGAACCGGAGGAGTTGCGGAGAATAGCCGGGGAGGGTTCGAGGGACTCCCGGGCGGCTCTTTCTAACCTTTCCCAGTTCTCTGACCTAAAATCCTGCCTGCTTGGTGGAGCTTTAGCCACGACCTGCCTCAGGTGGGGCTTCCTTCTCTCTGGAGTTGCCCGAAAACTTTTCTCCCCCCCCCCGCTCTCTCTCTCCCCCTCTTTCTCCTTTGGGCTTTTGTGCCGAGGCTCTTTCCCGGCGGCAGGGCTGCCGAGAGGACTCAGTTCTTGTCCCGGAGAAAAAGGGCAGAAATGAGGGTGGAGTTGGGTTGGCTGGGGGGTGGGTGGGAAGGAGCTCCCCCGGGCTCGTCCTCTTGGTGTCAGATCTGCTCGGCGAAAGGGATTGCCAGGACCTGTAGAAAGTATAGATCTGGTCTGAAATGGAAAAGGGAAACTCCAAAAAACCCAACAACGGGAAGCGGTGGAGAGGTCGCTAATTCAACTTGATCTCCTCAACTCCTAGAGTGAAGGAGCAGCACTGACACGACCGGACGGACCCATCTGTTGAAATCCGCGTTGCTTTTGTTATTCCATCGGTGTTCCAGGTCTCAGCCGGAGGATTTGGCACTTTAAGATTCAGCAGGTTGCCCTTTGCTGGCGAACTGAGCTGCTCCAGACGCCACACGCGTTACTTAACCGAAGCATTTCCTTCTAAGCCAGTTATAGCCTAGCTTTCAGAGCTGTTAGACTGGGGTGTTCCACATAATGACAGTACGAATGTGACTACTATAGAATTTTTATCCTGTTTGCCTTCACCCCCAGTTCGGATGTTCGGGTAGAAGAAGGGAAGGTTTGTAAAAGCCTGTTTTGCTTTAACTTATGTAGTTGTGTGTGTGTGTATTTATGGTGAGGTTTGATTCTGTTCTTACCTTAAGAAAATGTGTCAAATCTTTTATAGATAGTACTAAATCCCTGGATAGGTTTTCGTTTTCTAAATTAAACATTTATAGTTTTTCCCTAGTTTTTCTATACTTCCCTGGTCAAACACACAAGTGTATTTATCTATTGAATATATAGAGTATTTCTGTAGTATTTATTTGCATCGAACTTAATAAATTGGCTATAATTAACAGATTGTTAACTTTCAATTATGCAGCATAAGAAACTGTAAAATTTTGTAATAAAATCATAAGCTTTCTAGATATAAATATGGATATCTAATACATAATGATGTTGTTTGCAGAATTCCAGTGACACGATCTTATTGTGCTTTGCTATATATTCAGTTAATTTACATTTTCATATATATATATATATATAGATAGATAGATAGATAGATAGGTAGGTAGAGAGATAGGTAGAGGTATACACACACACACACACACACCTTAATAAGTTAGGCTAACTTCTGAGAGTGTCAGAATGTTTGCTTTCCTAGCCAAAACATCTGCTATTCTAATATGAAATTGAATGTTCTGTTCACTGAAGAAACACATTCAGTTAAAGCTGTTTCTTTTAACTTTGAACAGTAGTTTAAAATCTAATGTCAGTGTATATATTTAGCTAGATTTATTGTTAAAGCCATTAGGCCACAGTAGGAATTCTTAAAAGATGAGTACACAACCTACCTCAATACCTAGATAACCTTAAGGGTTACTTTGTTTCATGGGGAAAAGAAGAGTGATTATTCAGCTTGTGTCCATGTGCAAGAAACTGAATTGATTAGATTGAACTCTGTAGTGTCCACTGGAATGGTGTATGTTACTTGGCTTAATTTGAAATACATGTATAAATATAAACAAAGACTGATTGTAACTTTTGTATATTAGAAAACAGGAAAAATTCTTAATTGTGTTGTATATAATGTATAGGGAACAATATAGTAAGGTTATATGTAAGTAAATATTGAAAAAAGTACCAATTTTGAACCTTTAGTTGTTTATTTTGGCAGAATTTTCTTTCAGGTGTTTTTATCTAGCAATGGGTAGATTAGGACTAATGTTGCAGGAGTACTCATAATCCAGTTAGTTAATTATTAATATTTCATTTAATTTTTTAAATCAAAATAGTTATTGTAGCTTAAAGATTAAAAAAAGATAGTTGGAACTAATATACCCAGACATTTTTTAAAAATGTCAAGTGAATTAAAAGAATACTGAGATTTTTAAAAGCTTATTGGCTGCCATATTTAGCACCACCCCAAATGAGTAAACATGGAGTTAAATGTTGTTATAATGCAAAGATATGCGGGGGGGGGGGAGAGGAATAACCAGTGTATTTTATCCTAAGCATAAATCAAGATTCCTGTTTTGCCAGTGTATAAGTCAAGTCTGATACATGATTTGGGAAGGCCTTACATATGGATACTACTTTGAAATGTATAGATGACAAACCAAACAAATATTTAACTTAGCTTTAGGAAAAGCTATTTAACTATGATTCTTTAGGGGAAAAAATGCTTAACATATTGTTACCACAGTTGCTTTCCTGGTATTTTCAATAGAATTAGACAAAAAAAGTACAATATTTTTAATGTGGTAGAAAAATGCTGAGATCTTTGCAAGCTCCCAAGTAATTGAATGTTGAGAATTTTTATGAGATGCATTATAGCTTTTTATCACTAATATATTACAGAAACAATATTTGCACAAAAAATAAATTTCATAATCTTGATGTTTTTGTTTTCTTCTCTCACCTGTTTCTATAAAGTTTATTTTAATAGATGTAGCTATATAAAGGTTCTTAACAGAAGATTGAGAGAAGTAGCCTCTTTAATTGTTAAATTACACTATCATAAAAATAGGTTTATCATATCTTTAAAATAATGCTAAAATTGATTTCAAAAAATTGAATTATCTTAGTTGTATGTGGTATTTAAAGAAGCAACTTAATATTCAACATAATACAAATTTTTAGTGTTTTATATATAAATCAGTGCTATTTAGTGAAATATTTTGTTTTTGACAATTTTTCAGAAATTATTGAAAGTCGTATTTGGATTGTTAAATATGTTTTTAAGAAGTTGGTTTTGAAAGTTGCTAAATATGGACAGCATAGATGCATAGAAAAAGCCTGGCATTTTTTTCCTAATTGAAAAACTGTAAGTTTTAAAATATGATTTACTTTTAACATTTCTGTTATTTTTTAATAATAAAGATGGAAACTTCTGAATAATAGTTAGTATAATGGAAACATTCAGATATATTGTTTTACAACACAAAAGTATGCATAAATAACTGTTTTTATGCTGAATTAACTTAATTTATAATAGCAAAATTGTTACATTTTGAAGTCACTTGTTTGAAAACAAGTTTTAAAGATTTTAGGATTTTTTTCAGACTGCTGTGTCATGCAACTCTCATCTTGCTGGAATCTTAATCAAGTGTCATAGAAAAACTGGGAAAATAGGTTTTTTAAGAAAGAACGGTTTGTTTAATATTTGTTTAAGTTGATCTTTAATTCACAATTAAGCTGATTTATTAAGCCAAACATGATCAGTTTAAGAAACTGATAATCTTATTATGCACTTACACTTATCACAAAATAAACATTTCCAAGAATAATATAAAAACAGTAGCAATTGAAATCACCTGTTATTCATAAATTAACTATTTTAACACTACTTTGCAGTGTTGGTAGATTGTGTAGCAGTGAAAAGGTATAGGTTTTAATTCTTTCCTAGAAACAGTAAGGATAGTTGATGTTCTCATTCCTGCTGTGAAATTTGCATATTTCTTCTTTCTCTCTGTTCTTGTCTCAGCTCTGGCAGTACTTGGTTACAAATAATATATTTTATGATTTTGGTAACTATATACAATTCATTTAAAATATCCTTTTCCGGAAAAGATTAAAATCCATATTTTTTTAAAAAAATCAGATGATACAATACTATAGTTCTAATAAAGCAGATATTTAAATGTTTCTAAATGTGGGTCTTTTCAGTCATGTGGTATAGGATAATATTTTGTATTATATATGTTGAGGTATAATTTTTAGATATGAGTCAGAATATTTTATTTTGAAAAAGTAACAGATAGTTTGAAAACTGCAGTTTATTTTATATAGACCATACAAATATTAAAACAGTAAAATGGATCCTGACTGACTTCTTTAGAACCCAGTATTTCAATAGAAAATATATATATATTATAAATATGTAGCATTGCTTTGCGTTTTCATACAGAATATATATATAATGTACAGCATCCTGCCCCCCCCCCAAATTAAATAAACTGGGTATAAAACTAGAGTATCTCTATTAGATGTTTTGTTCATTCTATAGTTTATACTTAAAATATTGAGGCTATTGAAATATCTTTAAAAAAGGTATAAATGGTATAAAAGTATACAGTTAATTTAAATTGATTTTTATATAGAAAAAGTTAAGTTGATCACAGAAATCTAACTTCTTATTTTCTGTGTGAATATCAAGACTTGGGCAGGGGAAAGAAATCTTTATACTTATGCATTTATTATGAAACAAACTCAGAAGACAAGGTGATAATTTCTCCAAATGTTATTTGTTTCATTACTTCAGCATGCTAAGTTACTCTATTAATTAGCAGTCATATACTATTGGATTGTAAAGCTGAAAAAAGTGATTAAACTCAGACTTGATAAATAAAAACAACCACTTATATTAATATTCATGAAAGAACTTAAAACTAAGTATAATGTTTGCATTACCTGAATTAACTGTAAAGGCATATACTTCTGTTCATTTTTGTATTTTATGTTACTAGGAAACACAAAGGATAAAAATACGGCAAAATGTGCATATGAACACAGATTCTTTTAAAATTAAATTTTGTGACTGAATAACCCGGAATTTATGCAGTAAATCGTGTGTTTTTGGTTTTATCTTACTGAATTTCTACTTTGATGATATGTTATTGTTTGGAAGACTGTTTTAACTCATATTGATATAAATTGAGAATACATATCAATAGGTAACTGGGGTGTAATC